ACTCAAGTACTCCCTTAACACAAGAACACCTTGTCTGTCCCCCAGGGAGGAGGTCACACACAGTTCCTTGTAATCGGTTCCCTCTTTCCTACCCATTCTCCCTTTACCCTCCCTGTTTCGCCGCCACTCACACCACTGGTCCTGTAAGTTAAAATGTTTTAACTTAAGATCTATAATGGATCACAACCTGGCATAAGAAGAATTTTGATTTCAGATTCTGCCAAATCTTATCTCCCTAATTACGATAATGCAGTTTACGTCCACATCTTGAGCTGAATCTTAAGGTAAATCTGCTAAGTAAAGGTAATCTCTCCTTACCCTACTCTTTTAAGAAAAAAAAGCTGACAAACTAAATCTGAGCTCCTCCAAATGGCTTTTGGTTAGCTGCGGAGCACTGTAACCACTGTACCACCAGGGCTGTACAACAGATACAGATACAACAAAACAAACAAACAGAAAGAAGATACACACAGATGGCACAGTGAATTATGGGTTTGGCTGCTAATTGCAAGGTTGGTAATTCAAATCCACCAGCTTCTCTGTGGAAGAAAGATGAGGCTTTCTGCCCCCTGCAAAGGTTTACAGCCCTGGAAACCGTATAATAAGTTGCTCTGAGTCAGATGTGACTCTGGGCAGTGAGTTTTTTTCATTGTTTTAGTTTTTTACTGAGACAGATGCATACTTACCTGGCAGGGGAGATACCATGATCACTGAGACAGATGCTGCAGTGATACTCTACTAAATTTGACCCTTCACAACACTCCTGGAAGAATAAACTTCAAGACCCTCAATCAAAGCACAGCAAACTAAGTTATTGACCAAAAGGAGTGCTTAACTCACATCCGTAGGCACCCACATCCATCCCTAGGAAGAAGATCTCAAAGCGAACATCTCCTATCTTAAGACTAAGGATGGGAATTTAAAGGGAAAGTTCAACGACAGATGGTGCAAACCCCAGGTGGTGCAAACAGTCAACAGACTCAGCTTTCTAACAACATGTCGGAGGCTCAAGGCCGCCCACAGGTGTGTTTCTGAAGCAAGGCCTGGCTATCTCTTTCTGAAAATCAGTCACTGAAAACTCTGTGGAACACTGTTTTACTCAGACATGTGCAGGAATAAGTGACAGCTGCACTGGAAACGGCCTGGGCTAATTTTGCTTTGCTTGGTTCACCATACATTTAGGACTCAGCTTTGCATTTGCCTCGAATGTAATGAAGAAGTTCTGTTTTACTTTGGGGCTACTCAGCAATTTCTAACACCGAGAGTTACAGCCATAGCCGGAAAACAAAAGGCTGTGTGCCATCGCTGAGTCATGTGGAAGACGCTGGCTGGCTGCCTTTTCAGACTGCAGACAATTGTCCACTATTCTGATGTGGCAAGTCTACTTTAAGGGGAAAACAGGAAAGAATAAGTTTAAACTTCAACCAAGTAGGTCAGGTTAAATGTTAGCAATTTTTGTTGGTAGAAGGGTCAGTGAAATGGAAAAATACCAGATTACCTTAATCCAATGGAATTTAACTCAACGACTAATATTACATCTTACCCATGCCATTTTCTGGTTTGTGGCAAAAGGCCAAAATTTCCATTTCTCTAAAATTACCTGACATTATTTGTAAGTCACATAAGACGATGGAATTCACTAGAGCAGCGGTTTTCAACCTGTGGGTTGCGATCCCTTTGGGGGTCGAACGACCCTTTCACAGGGGTCGCCCCATTCATAACAGTATCAAAATTACAGTTATGAAGTAGCAATGAAAATAATTTTATGGTTGGGGGGGGTCACCACAACATAAGACCCTGTATTAAAGGGTTGTGGCATTAGGAAGGTTGAGAACCGCTGCTATCAGAAAATCTTACAATCTGTATGTGTTATGTTTGTAGGCAGAATATATAAATATTTTAATAAAGTGTTTGAAAAAATGTTTTACAAATATTTGTGGGGCAAATAAGGAGAAAACGTTTTATAAAGCGCTTGGAGAAATTTCATTGCAAAATAATTAGAGGTCAAGTCTACTGATCATTAAGATAGGATGATTACTTAATAATATGATAGTAATCACTTGATATCACTTCAATGTATGAACACATACATATATGTTGTTTGGACTAAGCTGAAACAGGTCAGGGACCTGCAACGTGCTTCCCTGCACATCCTCAAATGTCAGCAGCAGACGGCACCAGATAGGATAACCGGTGAAACCAGATGTTCGCAGTTTGAGGAAAATCACAAGGAGTCAACAAGCAATTCTCGGAGTTTCCAGACCCCATATGCTAATTGCCATACACTCCTCACCACCCTTTAAAAACCCATGCTCCCAGTTGCTGAGCATGACTTCCCTGACCTGTTGGCCTAGGTCACGGAATCTTATCCGGGAGCTCCCTCTAATAAAGCTATTTCTGTTTCTGCTTGCTCTCCGTTGTCCTGTCAGTTATGGCTGTCTGTCTCCTGTACCTCAGTTTCACTTTTACATTTGGTGCCCAAAGCCCGGGAGTGGTAGGGACACGGACTCTGTGCCATCCTGGCCCTGCTTTGGCTGGGCCCACCCCTCTTCTCCTCTCCTCTCGAACCTCTGGAGCCTGTCTGAATGAGTGACTTCTGGTCTGTATCTCTGTGTATGCTCATTCTGTCTCATTTGTCTTGTTTGTCTTTCTGGGCACTGAGGACCAGCAAACTCGGACGGGAACTTAGGGTCCATGGGAGGCTAACTAGCTGAAAGCCCTAAAAAGCAAGTACACTAGGAAGCTGAACGTGGCGCCGCTACAGGGGTTTATTCTGCTACCCTAGTACCAAGAAGAGCTGAAAATAACTGCTTTTCCCCAATAGGGGTGCGAGATAAGATCAGGTTCTCGTGTCCATCTTTTCTCTGTGTCTATAATCACTCATGTGGCCTCCGGCCTTTTGTCTCTGTGTTTACCTCCTGGGATTCCTGCCAATAACAGGACTCCCAGCATCAGGCTGAGCAGTCACTGCACCTTCTGCCTGGACTGGAACGCAGAGGGTGTGTCTGAGCTTTTTCTACCTGTTTGCGTGTTTTGCGTTTGCGGCTCTGCTTTCTCTAAAATTTTCTGCTTCCCCTTCCTCTCACCCTGAACAACGGCCTCTGACCAACCTCCATTTTACAGGCCATAAAGCCAGGCCTCCCTCCCCCTCCTCGGCTTCCATTGTGTGTCTCTGTAATCCGAGGTCCCTGTCTGCTGGACAAAAGCTGCAGACCTGCACCAGGGAACGTTCATATTCTGGAGAGTCCAGGACTCTCCTCTGGGTCCCTAACTCTGATTGGGATGCCCCCAGGGTTACTGGATTTCTTTCTGACTGATTGGTGCGAACGGGGAGCAGGGGACACTCTTCTTCTCTGTCCATACCCCTTGAAGTTTGAGACACAATGGGAAGTCTTCTGTCCCAACCCCCTAAAGACAATCCTTTGGGGTGCCCACTGCCAACCTTACTGAATTGGGTTTGGCTCCTGATTGCCGCCCTAAACACCTGGTCTTTGTCTGTAACCAAGTTTGGCTTCAATGCCAATTGGACAATGAGTCGCACTAGCCAGAAAATAGCACTTTTGATTTTAACATTCTCCGCAACCTCAACAGTTTTTGTCAACAAATTCACAGATAATCGGAAGTCTCATATGGTCAGGCTTTTTTTTCTTTCTTTGCTCCTGTCCCTCTACTACCTGTCACCCTGCTCAAGTTCTCTTAGCCAAACACTCTCTTAATCAGGCCCCTGACAGTACTCCCCTTCCATCCTTCTCCAAACTTCCTGACTCCTTTGTCTGCACCCCCAATAAGGCCTCCTCCACATTCTGGGTGTCCCTCACCATCACCTCCCTCTGCTACCCCCTCTACTCCCAAAGGCTGAGGCGACTGTGCCTCTGACACCCATCCACTCACAGGAGCCAGACCCCTCAGACTCCCTGGAGTCTCTCTCGCTCTCCCTTTCTCGGCCCCCTCCCTGACTCTCTCCCTGCTCAGCCTCCTCTGGGCCAACACCCGCAGTCTCTGAGAGACCTCTCCCAGATAGGGAAGTAGCTCACAAATCCGTGCTGGACTCCTGAGACTCACAGGAGGGAGGGGTCAGAAAGCTCCAGGAAGTAACAACTTTAATCTCCCACTGCATTTCTGATTTCAGTATCATCTGAAATCTGAACAATTTCTGCCTGTAAACTCACAGATAGTCTGAGATTCTGTACGTCCAGGCTGCCTTTTTTCTGCGCTCCTGTCCCTTTCTCTGTATGTCCTGCTCTTCTTCCCAAGTCCTCTTGACTAATAAAATTCCTCCTCTTTTCCTGCGTCTGCACCCCCCTCTGGTGTCTACCTTTTCAGGCCTGCCTGAACACCTTGTCTCCCCTCCTACTCACCCCTCTCCCTATTCTGGCCACCCAGAGCCTGCACATCCTATTCTCCTGATCTACCCACCTCACTAGAGGTACCCAAGTCTGCACTCACTCTGCCAGTTAGCAAGAACCCCTGTTCTCCTTTGACTGCTCCGGAAAGTGGCAGGGGCTGAGAGAGGGTCAGGTTCACGTTCCCTTCTCTCTCACTGATTTGTCTCAGATTTAAAAGTGTGTAGGTTCCTTTTTAATGATCCCACAACCTATATTAAGAGTTTCGATATTTAACTCAAGCTTATACTTTGTCCTGGCATGATATCTTTGTCATCCTTTCCTCTACCCTAACTGCAAAGAAGAGGAAACACTTCTCTCGCTCTTCAGCAGCATTCCGACCAGGTTCATTTAACCCACCCTGATCTAAGCGGTTCTCAGACAAAAACCTGGTTAGAGTTATCAAATTGACAATCAAGCAGGTAGGGACAGATGGGTCCGCCATGATAAAATGCTTCAGTGTGTCCTGGCTTAACTTCAGGCCATTTCCCATATAAAAGTCAATTTTAATAAACTTAAGAAAGATCACTCAAAAGCCTGACAAAAGTCCAGCTACCTTTTTAAGCTGCTTAACTAATGCTTTAACCCGGAAGGCCCTCAAACCCACGTCCGAGATTTAGCGAACATGGCATTGAAGGTTTTTAACAGCCGTGAGGAGCTGGCAGAGTCAGCCTGTGAAGCCTGGTTCCAGCAGAAGGTAAAATTTCAAACCCAAGCTTCAGTAGCATCCCTGCACCAGCAATCCTCCCCGTGGCCCCAAAAGGGCAGCATGGGGCAAGGTTGTATGGGAACAATGACTGCCACCTGGCACCTGCTTCAAGCGCGGAGAAGAAGGGCACTGGTCATGGGAGTGCCCCAGGCCTGGAGCTCCAATCAAACCCTGCCCGGCGTGCAGTCAAAGCAGACACTGGAAGTCCAATTGTCCTTTGAAAAATGACAGGCCCTTTGTGTCTCCACACGAGGGTGGGGGTGGGGGACGGGACGGGACTGTCCTTCTGTTTCTGACCCATTGTTGGCCCTGCTGGGATTAGCCGATGTCTGAAGAAACCCTAACTGGA